AAACTCGCGAGGGAAACATATTCCCGGCTTAATCCGGACCTTCGATTATCTTGTTATTTCGGACAAGAAGTTGGCCTTCTCGGTAGCTGTGGTTAGAGACTTCACCATGCCGAATCTCGACGTCAGTAAATAACCATGACATTCGACTGCCGACATTTGACGCCAGGCAAACCGACAGCGTCGGAGAGTTTTGATCCATGAAGCAAGCGGAAATGGTAGAGAACGCGGGGAAATACTACGGTAGAGTTCTCCTGCAGGGACAACCGGAGGCCAATTTATGATCGAGGTACCACCACCGTAAGTAAGGTATTGGCTTTAGCCGAGTCCGCTAAGTACCGGATCTCCATATGTCCCTTGCAGATCCGGGGTAAAATGGGTCATGGATGGGGCATGCTTGTAGACAATGACTGAACAAAGCCGTACAGCCAGGTGTCACTGGGAAAATGTTTGAGAATTGGGTGGTTTCGGTTCAGGTGGCGGTGAAATGTAGATAGAAGAGATGAAGATGTATATACAAGTATCTAACCCCTCGACTGCTTGCAGTTGCTGTTCTGGTTCTTTCTAAAGCAAAGGACCCCTTCCACGGTGTCGACAGCTTTTGGAATGATTACAACACAATCATCTAGTATTCTATTTCTAATGACAAGGCGGACTAATCTGATACCTGATCTCCGGGCCAGGGCCCGAGTCTGATGCTGGGCGGCGTCGGGGGAATGACCAAGATACTGTGAACTTGCACATGATGCGCAAGTCGGTGGTCAGCCCAGAACTGCCTGCAAGCAATTCGGTCATCGACATGGGGAGGCCGAGTCGTCAAAGAGTACTGTCAGGGACGTACGCCTCAGCTGGTGGTCGACCATTGAAGGGGCTGGGTACATCGACGGACGATGCGGCCTTCAGCTCGTGAGCTGTAATGCCGTAGACGAGAAGATTGAAGACTCTCTGGACTTTCGAAGCATTTGTCCGCGGCGAAGTACGATAACTTCTGCATCAAAGGTGGTGACCTTCAACGTTGCATCGGCTCGGGTGGACAATAGCAGAAGGCAGAGTTGCCAACCGTTTCTCGAAGTTGCTATGAGGAGGACGCTGGGGTGGGGCGACTATGACCTTCCGTGGTCTTGATAGAGAATACCACGAACATCGACGCGGTTGACGAACGTGCAGCATGTTCTCTACCGCCTCCGTCCTCCACCTCCACGTCTTCCGCCGCCAGGGGGCCCCCCATGCCTTGGGTGGCCGCCATGCATGCCGCGAGGAGGCGGGCCCCGGGGAGGTGGACCGCGGCCAACGACAACAGGTCGCATCACCACCGGCTGGGCGACGACAACCCGGGGCCGAGCGACGACGACGGGCCGGGGGGCGATATAGACGGGACGGGGCCCGTAGTGCTGGCGTGGGGCTGATGGTCCGCAACCCATATTGGAGTGATGGAGATTTGGAGTTGGGAAGGTTGGGGTTAAGTGATGCTGGTTGACACGCTTGTGGTGGCTGTATTGGAGTTTGGTGTTCGCTGTTTGGGTGAAGTGATGAAGCTGAGGGTGTTGGTGATGATGTACGAGTGCATAGTCCGAGTAGACTTCAGGAGGATGAGGCGTCTATTTAATTGAGCACGATCCCTTTGCGACCGAGGTCATCGGGCGAAAATCGTCCCTCGCTTGCGTTGGAATGTGCCAAGGCACGTAGGGTGAACCCTGGATATGTACAAGCAGCTTAGCAGGAAATGTGGTATGATCACCGGTCACTTTGCGTCCGGCCTCCGTATCTCTCTTGTCGGGATCTCGAGCTTGTAACCGATGGTGTCGTCGGAGTAGAGGGAGGCTGTGCAGGACCGTAGCTCGGTATCCTCGGTCGAATCTGCCAGACTTGGTTCTCCACGGAACCTCTTTGGTGCATGGAAGAACTCCGTCGCTGTAGCCGACAGATATCGGATGCACATCAGCGTCCGCCGGGCCTCGATCCCATCCAGCTGTTCCTTGACAACATATTTGACACGGAGATGTACAGAAGCCCTCACGATCTGTCGCCGACACAGCACACGCAGATATTGGGACCTGCTGCCCCCTGCTGGCACCTCGCGCCTTGGCGGAACCCACCAGATCTATCGGATCTGCGAAGACCGAGGTGATCAGCGAGGGGAGCTCGCCGAGACTCTGGGACGAGCCGTGGAATGCAGGCCGATCCGGCGAATCCCGCACGTGGTGGACTCACTTGGTTGCGTCGTTGCCTTCACCAGGCTTCCCGGATGAGCACCTGTTGTAGGATTACACATCTTAGCGCCCTTGATCGTCGTCTCGTCGTTTCGTCGTTTCGTCGGCTAATCGTGCGACCATCCAACACCTGCGCTTAGGCACCGCGCTTATATGCGTATTCCTACAGCAGGTGAAAGCTCTTGAGTCATGATACTGGCTCGTCACCACATCGATCCACAACAAGCTCTGAAGCCCGGTTAGCTCAATCGGTAGAGCGTGAGACTCTTAATCTCAAGGTTGCGGGTTCGACCCCCGCATCGGGCTCAATTCCCGGTGATGTTCGCGAGGACAAGACCATTAATTTTTTTGCGTGTTGTTTTGGTGATCAAGTGTGGTGGATGTTTTGGCGATGTCGAGCTCATGCAAATTCTGCGGGTGTGGAGGGTTAGGGTTGGTTATAGCGCAGGCCCATGTCGAGGCAGAGGATCGTGCTTTTGCACTGGGACCGGCCAGAGGCTCCATGTGCCCATCAAGTGCAATGGCATAGGTATGAGAGTATCCGTAGAGGACCTGATGACGTAAGATGGAATAGTCGTGATGCTCGTCCTCTTCAGTACAACTCAGCAGTTACTCGAGGCATTGCGATCGAGAACATGGTCTCGGGACTCTGTTTTGACACCCAGAGTTGACGCTTGTCAGATCTGAGACCCTATCGGACTTGGGTTAATATGTCTCATGGGAGGTGATCAACCGGGTCGGCTTGTTGCCCATTTAAACGGAAAGGGAAAATGTTGAACTCACCCCCTCATGGCGGGTTATTGGCCAGTATGTTTATATTGACCAGGTGCACACCAAGCAGCGGCAGTTCACCGCTCTCCCGCGAATTGCCTTGCATTGGTCGACGCGGGCCGTATCTGCCAGGCGCTTCACCGATCCAAGACGGCTCAATTGTGAAGATTGGGCGAGAGAGCCTTCGATTCTTGGCATTTGGGTTCTGGAAGTTGGAGATAATGCGTGCGTCCGGAGTAGAGCTCTCATAAAAATGGCCGTGGCACCCAGAACCCGGTCTAGCACTTGCCAGCCGTGACATTGTATGTGCCCGTACGTCGTAACTGTGCATCATCCTGCGCTCACATCCACCATCGACTGATTGTCGTCAACAGCCACAAGCCGCGATGCTTTGGAGTTCGCTTGCCTCCCTGGCCCTCGTGGGTCAGGCTCAGGCCCTCCTTCGGTTTGGTTGCTCGCAACTCGTTGTCGAGCGTCTCGACCCTCTGGTCAATCCGGGTCTCAACCCCTCGCCGCATCTCCATCAGATTATCGGTGGCGTACGACAATCCATAAGAGAGTCGAATGAGAACTCGAGCTGACCCAGCCACAGAACTCCTTCAACGCGACGATGGCGTACGACAAGGATATGCCGAACGACTCGACCTGCACATCCTGCCAGTTCTCCGAAGACTTCTCCAACTACTGGACTGCAGTCCTCTTCTTCAAGCACAAGAACGGCTCCTTCCACCGCGTGCCCCAGAGGGGCAATGGCGGGTTCGAGAACTCAAACGGCGGCATGACCGTCTATTAGTGCGTTCTCCTCTTCAAGGAGTCGACAAATGATGGAAAGGCTGACACAAAGCAGCATGCAAGACGGCCTGTCAGACTACCAGCAAAAGTCCAAAGTGACAGCCTTTAAGCAGGGCTTCCGAATGCTGATCGGCGACTCCATGGCACGGAGCAAGGATGAGGTGAGGAAGTTCCGGCAGTTGACGTACACCTGCCTCCAAGACATGGGAACTCGATTCCCCGAGACAAAGGACCTGCCGAAGCAGCCTTGCCCAGCTGGTATCATGGCCAACCTGCGCTTCCCAACGTGAGTAGATCGAAAGCAGCTCCCCAAGGATGACAGTTTGACTGACCAGTATCCAGTTGCTGGGACGGCAAGAACCTCGACACGCCCAACCACATGGACCACATGGCCTACCCGGCGCAGGGGACATTCGAGTCCCAGGGCCCCTGCCCGGCCACGCACCCGGTCAAGGTGCCGCAGCTCATGTACGAGACCATCTGGGACACGCGCCAGTTCAACAACCAGTCGGACTGGCCTGAGAATGAGCCGGCTTTCTATTGGTCGATGGGTGACAGCACCGGGTACGGCACGCACGGCGACTACGTCTTTGGCTGGAAGGACGACTCGCTGCAGCGGGCGATGGACTCCCCGTGCTATGTCAACTGTCCGACGCTCAAGACGCAGTCCATGACGGCTATGAACGCGTGTACCGTCAAGGATGTTGTTGCGGAACAGATCGACGGATGTGAGTGTAACTCTTGAACAAGGTGACGGCGGTGGACTGATGCTAATTGCGTACAGGGCTCGATGTTATCCCCGGAAACCCGGCGCTGTTCTGAGGATTTGGTTGAGCGACGGTCGATGTGGTTGACGTTGAGGCAGAGGCTGGGCATCAGTTGGAAACGGCACGGTATGGTAAGGGCAGCAACCGATAAATTGAGTATTTGCTCCAATCGTCAGGACAACATCTTCAACAATGATGTCCGAATTGCTTCTTGACGTTGAGATGTTGAAGATGGTTAGAATGATTCAACAAGATACAGAGCCGATGGTGACAGGACGAAGCTTACCTAAGCCGGCCAGAAGAGCTCCACTTTACCACGTGACACTGCCCCTTTCGCACCAGAGTTCATATCTCGACGCCAACCTTTGTGTCTGATATCAAACTCTCCCTCCCTTCGTGACTCATGGAGGCTTCGGCCTTCAAGAACTGTAATTCGCGTAAGCCTGTCATCAATCACATTGACAGCTGCGTGGCGCAGTGGAAGCGCGGTAAGTTCTCCAAACTCAACTCGAGTAATCCGAAACCACATCACTAACTCTCTCCTCTCAGCCGGGCTCATAACCCGGAGGTCCTCCGATCGAAACGGAGCGCAGCTACTCCTTTCTTTTTTTTGTCTTTTTGTCTTCTTGTCGCTCGCCTCTTGGTGCGTCCGGTTGTCTACCATGTGTAAGGCCATTGCTTGGGACACTTTGTGCAAAGCCGGTCGCTGTTCCAATGTCATTGGGTTAAACATCTAGTGTGCTTCACTGTCATCACTACTACCAGTGAAGAGACCACACGTGCAGGTAAAGTTGTCAAATTGGTATCTGATCTAGTAGTGATCTATGTACTCTGTCATAAGGGGCATTACAGAACAAGGGGGTAGTCGCGAATTGCAAGTAACTTTAACAAACTGATCCTCCATCTCCAACATTATACTACCATCGTCCAACAACTTCCTCCACACATGTCTGCGCTTCTCCCTCGTCAGATCTCGTACCCCACCAAACATAACAGTCTCGCGAGAACGCTTGCTTCGACAAATCCAACCCTGAAAACCCGCGCCTCCACATCACCACCGACAGCTGTCTCGTGTACTGCCCTAGAAGACTGATGCCATGCCACACACGTCTTCCCGTACCGGACACACTTCCACTCCCAGGTCAGGCGCCGCAAGGCTCCAGACAGTATCGCTGTCGATGTCGACCTTCGCACCCACCACGGCTGCCTTCTTCGCTAACACGATAGCAGCTTTGGTCTCCGGAGGGACAGCAACAGACTCCGTAGCAGTGACGCTGACCTTAACCGTCTCAGTGACAGTCTCCACGATGCGGACGACCTTCTTCTCTGTCACCGTCTCCTCCTTCGCGGCCGCCGTAGAAGCCGAGCTGCTGCTGGTGGCGGCCTCGCTCACCGAAGGAAGGGCTTCGCGCCGCGTGGACTTGGTGTCAACCACGAGAACCTCCCCCGGTGTCTGGTCGACTACGCTGTCGGTCGGAGATGCTTCAGCAGCTTCGTCCGCTGCCTCGCTCGCGAGTGTGGCGCTCACCGTCAAGGTCAGAACCTCTTCGGCCGTGGTAACATCGACAATCTCCAGCTTCTGCGCCCCCATCTTCCCCGGGACGCCCATAACGACGTCATCCCTCGCGACGGGCGCAACACGGTAAGCAACGTCAACCTCCCTCGGCCTCATAGCCAGCAAGAGCACAAACACCCCCAGCACAGCAATAACCACATTCCTCCGGTCCCTCATGAGCACCTTCACCGCCTCAAACACGAGCTCAGGCAGACTAGCTCCCTGATACGCCCCCGTACCCGTTGTAGTGCGGCGCTGCGTCCTGCGCTCCGCCGCCTCCTCTGACGGTGACCTGGGAGAAGGGGGTGCGTGGTAAGTGGACGTCGTGTGCGCTGTATCCTGCACGTCGGACCGGAAAGACGAGGTGGGTGGTTCTGCAAATGTGGATGTTGGGATGGTGGTGGCGGTGTCGTCGATATGGGAGAAGGAAGAGGTGGGTGGGGGGCTCGACCCGTAGATCTCCCGGAGACGGGCCTCGTCTCTGCGGCGGCGGGCTTCGCTTGCGTCTATATCGCGGGGGATGGGGGAGGGGGAGCGGGTTATGTGGATGGTCGGGGAGGTGGGGATTTGCGAGGGAGGGGAGGCGTGCATTGTCGGATGAGTAGGCGAGGAAAGCACCTCCGGCTGGCCGCGATGGCTGTCGTACAACGGGGTGGGAAGATGCACTTCCTCCTGCGCATGCAGTTCCTCATCAGCACGCATCGCATCCTCATGCCTCGCCCTCTCTTCCTCATCAGCTTCCCTCTGCCTCCTCTCCTCCTCCTCAACCTGGCACACAGCCAACCGTTCCAACTCCCTATGCAGGCCCGCACCAACAAGAGGCTCAACTTCGACATCAACCCGTTCCATCTCCTTCCAGCACGCCTCCCACGCACCCGCCTTCATGAGCCCGTTGCTCGCATACACTTTCACCCTGAACACCCTCCCCTCTCCAAGGCTCTCGTACTTAATCTCCCCCTTACACGTGGTGCACCAGTGCCTCTTCTCCTTCCTTCCAAACCTGCCTGTCTGTACATCGTATTCGTCCTCCTGCTCACTCTCACTCTCCCCCTCTTCAACGTCGTTACCAGGACCAAGGTAATGACCGCACTCCAGAATCCTCGCCCTCCTCCTAACCGGCAGCTCCAGTGCCTCGAGCAGCCGCTCCTCGAGCACCTCGTAGTCATACTGCGGGTGCGGCAGCAAGACCCCGCGCTCCAGCACTGTGTCCCCCACGCGGTCCTGCAGCTGGCGCCAGGCGTCCATCAGCCTGGTCAACTCGTCGCTCGCTTTAAACCCAAATCCTGTCGCAGAATCTAGACCGTCCACGACTTCCCCCCACACCCACCTCAGAGGGAGGAGCGTGACGTGCAGCAGCACGAGAGGAGGATCGTCCCTCTTCTTCAGGAAGCGGGTCGGCGTGCGTCCCTTGGGGCTGTACTGCGCCGACCCGCCACCGCTCAAGACGTTCCGCTTAGCAGACCGGGGCGAGGCGCCGTTGAACACGGAGGGTGTGGGGGAGGACATCTGGATGGCGCGCACGTCGGAAGGGGTGCGGAAGGGGATGCGGGTGCCGCTGCTTGAGGACTTGGTGGTCGGGGTGAAGGCGTCTTGGTGGTCGTCGTACTGGGAGATGGAGGATATGCCAGAGTGCCGGGAGTGGGTCGGGGTGCCACCACTCTTGATTTTCGGGGTGGGGGTGGGCTCGGAGTCTGATGCGGCGGAGGAAATGGAGTGACGGTTGGAGGAGCGGTCGCTGAAGACATCTGAGTCGGAAGGATCGTGGTGAGAACCGGAGTCGGAAGAGGATGTTTGGTGGTGGTGGACCTGGGAGCCGGTGGAGGTTGAGGATTCACGCCTGCTGGGGGTATTGGAAACAGAAGGGGAGATGGGAGAGTGTTTGTGGTCGTCAACGTCGTGGGAGGTGGTGCCGAGCAGGGAGGTGTCGCGATCGTCGGCGTGGCTGGGAGACAGAGACGCCCGGTGACTGTGCACCGCGGCGATGGCGCGCTCCTCGATCTGGGCTACCACGGCCCGGGCGGCGGCTTGGATAAGGGCTTCTGTGCGCAGGGAGCCACGGCGGTCAGAGGAGTCGGATATGGCCGACGTGCGGCGGGAGTCAGGTTCATAATCGTCTGCGTGGCTCACGGGGCCGTCGTCTTCTTGCTGGGCCTGGTCGTCGTCGAAGGCGTGCTCATATTCGATGTCGGGGCCGCCGACATGTGAAGGCTCGTCCTCGCCGAGGGATATATCGCCGTGCTGAGATGCTTCTAGTAATGAAGACTCGTCATGGGTGGAGGTGTCATCGTGATGCACATCGTCATGTTCCGACGCGACATCGTAACCGTCGTCCTCGAGGTCGGCACGCTGCATCTCGTCGTGGAGGTAGGAGTCCTCGGTGTGCGTGGACGCCTCCTCGTGGTAGAAGTTGTCGTGGTCTACATTTTCATGTGCCTGTAGCTGGTAGGTATGCTGCGCCGCTTCTTTGTCGTGCTCCTCTGCAGCTGCAGTATCAACGTCCGCACCAGCACCATCCTCATCCAGGCGAGAGTCCTCCACCTCCGAGGCATCGTACGACGTCTCGACTGCACCATCTTCCTTAACCATGTTGTCCTCGTGCTCGTCACGGCAATCACCACCCACCAGCTCTTCCTCCTCTCCTTCCTCCTCACCCGCCTCCTCCCCATGTACCTCGCCATGATCCCGAATCTCCTCAAGCAACCCATCAATCCGATCCTCCACAGCATCAATCCCCATCGCACTCGCCGGCCTACTATGTGTCCGGCTGGGTCCCAGATGCAAGTGGATATCCTTCCACCTAGGGGGCGCCGTAATCTCGTCGCATTCCTTTCCCCCAACAGCGGGCCGGTCCGCAACAGAAATGTCTCGCTTCTCGCCGCCGCCGCCGCCGTCGATCGAAGTCTGGGGCAGTAAATGTGTAGTATCTCTTTCTTCGCTTGCTACTGTTGGTTCGTCCATCGGTGTTGCGCTGAGACAAGATGGGTCGATGAATATGTTGAAGTCTTCTTCTTCTTCGGGCGTTGGGGATTTTCGGGGCATTGTCTGGGCTGAGCTGGCTGGAATGCAGGACGGGAGTCGAGGGGTTTTGTTGATTTTTTGTGGGTTGGAGGTAAACTGCAGCGATAACTGCAGCAACCAGGATAAGTCGTGATTGGGTTAAATGTTCTATTCGATGAGTTTGCAGACAGGTAAGAGGTCAGTGATAGTGTTTTGCTCGATTGATGTGGTGAATGGTCGGTTTGCACGGTGACGTGGTCCGGAAGTGTTGTTCGATGAGATTGGGGGTGTTGACGGGGCAACCAGAAGTCATTTGTATGGCCGGTCTTTGGTGTTGGTCACCGTGGCAAATGAAGGACAGGGGGGAAGTCACCGCACTTTGAACAGAGATATTTCACTAGTAATTGAAGCACTTGGAATCTGCTGAGTGCTTATATCTCCTGAGCGAGGAAACATCATTGACATAGCTTGCCTTTTTGCACACCACCTTGGATGGTGTTCGAGGGTTCAACAGTTGGTTATTGATGTCCCCGAGTCATCAAGAATAAGATCATAATCACACAGCATGTTTGAGGGACTCTTTTGGTTTTATGGTATTTTAGATTTCGAGCTCTCTATCGAGCAATCCTCTCCTATTCCTTAAATCCGGTGACAAGACGGAGCAAGCGTAAAACAAAGCTGAGTAGTGATCATATTCCAGAAAGGAAGCGCAACGCTGCAGCCAAACGGCCAGCGGTATCCGAACCTGCTACCCATAACAAAAGAAATGGCGACTCCCCTTAAGGGTTACAGTCATGGAAATACAACAACATTACGCCATACCCTATATCCCAGAAACGCTGTGTCATTACAAGTCAATCGTCAGAAGCTCCAACCTCCCCATCACGCTCTCCACCGCGGAACTGATGCGCTGCACCCGCTCCATGGCGAGAGCGGCACCGACCTCCTCCTCCGAGGCGTCGACAAGCTCGTACCGCTCAAACACCTTCTCCAGCTCGATGCCGCCGAACAGGTCCACGTGCGACAGGCCGTCAATGTCGAGCT